ACATTTACAACTATTAAAAAATTCACAATCTCAAATTTTCAGAACAATCTGTATGGTACTAGAAGAAACGATTTTATATTTATAGTCCTTATATCTGTTTTATTTTTTTAGTAATCACTTAAGACTTGTATGTATCTATAAGTATCAACAGCATGAAACATTTGCATCACGATATCAAATAACTTTACTTACAGTCATTTCAGTCAAATATTAACTCACAGTTTGAGCATCGAAATTTACACTCACAGTTGCCAGTATATTCAAAAAAGGTATGCAGTCTGAATACCGATATTACAAATATTCCAGCATAATGACAATCATTGGTAAACATACCAAAGAAACACTCACCACTCAGCTGCAGTTTTGATGACAACTATTGGTGCTATGATCACTCCCTTCATCCATTCGTTTTGCGGAAAGTCCAATTGTTTTGCAGAAATGTAGCTACTAGTGTCTTCCATATGACACACATTCTATTATACATTGTAGTGTAACACACTGTGCCATCCTGCTCTGCTCTAACTCACATTTCAAAAAATTTATAACTTATTACTTAGCAAACATTCCTATAGATGTATGTCTACACTAGATTAATAATTTTGACATTATACCATACCTTTGTAGTTTGCACTCACATTTAAAAATTACAATATTACAGGGAAATAGTAGGTAAAATGTAGCCATGCAATCTTGCTTCAGAATAAAAACATCCATCTCATATTCCATCCATCTTTATTTAATTCTCACAACAAACACAAAATGTCTCCCAAATATCTTCTAATCAACTTACAACTAATTTCAACCTTAAACACAAGACATTACTTCCAGATCCTAACTTAACAACACAATAAATTTATCATACTTATTTCTACATTTGTATCATACTTTTCCATATACTTAAACAATGTTTCCTCAGACACAAGTGACATTTCTTTTTACTTTTAAAATACAAATTCATTGTTGATGCTGGACTTTAGCAGTGGCTCACCTAAGAACTTATGATTGATGCTTGTTCCATCCACTATTAGGTCCTCCTTGTCCACTCGCATTGCTGCCATTTCCATTCCATCCTCCTCCTTGTCCATTTGATCGATTTCCTTGATTTGGCCAGTTACCACCTTTACCTCCCCAACCTTGATTTCCACCGCCTTGATTCCATGAAGGAGGAGGCCCATTTTGATTTGAACCCCAATTTTTACCACCACTTCCTTGTGGAGGGCCATTTGACCAATTGTTGGGGCCATTGTTGCCACCATTAGGGCCGCCACCTAAAAAGCCTCCCCAACCTGCTTGATTGAGAGCTGCAGCTACAAGACTAATGGGCAAATTGAAATTGGGTGGAGGGCCACCATTAGGATTTATGCCCAAATTTTGCATATTTAAGGTATCTATATTACCATTACCACTACTAGATCCCCCTCCGTTGCCTGGTCCGCTAGACGGAGGTCTTCCACCATCCCAGTTGTTAGGACCATATGTATCTCCTCTCCAATTTTGATTAGGTTTTGGCTTTATTTTAGGTGCAGCACTCGAAACAGATACTGATGCACCTTTAATGACATGGTCCTCGCCACATAAGCTCTGTGCAACTTCTGGATCCAAAAATGTAACAAACCCAAAAGCTCTAAATGGGCGTGGAACAAAAACATCTGTAACCTCTCCAAATTTTGAAAAGTACTCACGAAGATCATCAGCAGTCATATCTTCTGTACATCTTCCAACAAATACCTTACAAGGCATTTGAGGAACAACGCCTTCTTTAGAATTTGGTATACGAACATCTACCCAACGTCCATCAAGGTTATGTCTCTGAGCAAGAGCTCTCATTTGGGAAGCGTATGTAGCAAAACGTATGAATCCAAATCCTTTAAAACTTCCGTTTTTATCTCTTTTCAGCTGTACCATCACAACTTCTCCAAATTGCTCAAAGTATTGTTTGATCGACTCCTCGGTAGCCTTCCAGGGCAGTCCAAGACAAATTAAATCAGAGCAAGTTAGCTTTTTCTCCAAACGTTTAGTTTTTGCAGCTGAGTTTTCAGTTGTAACATCTTCCATTTTACGTTTATTTTCTTTAGGAAAAACGCAGACATATAGAAGTTTACCCCAGCCAGCTTCAGTAGGTGGATGCAGTCTTCCGTCACTAAGTCTAATACCTCTAATCGACTTGGTCTCAGGATGTCGATATTTAAGACCACAAGCGCCCGGAAATTGTGCTACGAGTGTAGATAAAAGTAATGTCCCGTCATGTTCACAGGGAATTTCAACTGCGTTTCCATCATCGTCATCCTCACTGACCCTTATATAGTCAAATAATTCATCTTTAAATATTTCACCTTTATTACTCATTATATTACCGTCGAACAATTACAAGAACTCTTCAAAAATTTAAAATACTCACATTAACAAGAAGTTCAAAGATGAAACAAAACGTAAAGACAAAATGGCTTCCTTTACTAGTCCGCGCCAACGAAATGTCATAAATTTTAGAAATTGTTGGATACTAGTTCTTACGACCTAAATAAATTACTGAATTATAGTAATTATCTAAATTAATTATTCTATTCATTACTAAGAATAAATAAAGTATAAATAATAGAGAAAACGATCTGGTATTTACGTTATAACTCAAAGTTATGGTTTTTGTGTGAGTTTTTTGTATCTTTTTTAGTATTTTATCAAAATTAATGATTTACATACCATTTTCAAGACGATTTTCAAGACGATTTTCACCATTGAAAATTAAACAGATACATTTAATTTGCACAGAAAAATTAGCAACATTTATTACATAAGTATCATTATATTTTTTAAGCTTAATGACAGAACTATAGATTAGAGCCATAAATAAATAAATGCATCTACTTGTGTTTCTACATTGCGTTATATATTATACTTTTTTTGGTGAAAAATTTAGAATACTGCAATTCTAATTGTCTCAGTCAATCTATTTATTCATATTAAACAATATTTTTTGTAAACAAATTAATTTGTGTCTGATAAGTATGGTAACATGACATTAATATTCTTTATTTTTTTCTGATTTCTGTTTTAGGTTTAGGTGTTTTCTGATTCTCCATTTTTAATTTTCGAATCATTGATTTAATGTTTCCAGGTTTCAGTATTAAGCTTGTCTTATATGGACAAAATTCGCCATAACTCTTTGTCACTACAATGCCAAAGTTTTCAAATGTTATTTGAATAATAGTTGCATTAGATATCTATAACTTTTTAGTATAAATCGTGGTTTTTGGTAAATTCATTAAATCAGAAAAATATTTTATTATTGACCATTAAAAATGGTTTTGTTTCAATTTTTAGCACTCGGCTCTATGAGGCCTTTCGAAATAAAGTTTTTTTTTTGCTTTTTCTGATATGGTGAAATCCATATCATATGCGAGAAATTACGATCTTTCACAAGAACATTACAAGTACTACTTGGTTCTTAGTTTGTCCTCCACAATTATCTGACCACAATATCAGTTTCTATTTATCTGCACAACATCCTATCTCTGTACATGTGAAAATTTGTACAAGAATGAAGCTATATAATTCATAGATCCTCTTTGACCAACAGTTCCATCCCATAAGAACATAATGCCTTGTTATATATCTTCCAGATAAATATCTAATTTTACGCAGGCACGTTAATATTTAAAAATACATATACTGTCGATGATCAATTGGCATCATTCGTGTATTATAATTTAGGGCTTTCGATTTCATATTATCATTACATCTCTTGCTGTTTCAACTTGCTGATCATGAATCTCCAGTTATTGCTTAGCATTTAGTTTTAATTCTTGATAATACTAAATAAGTATAAAATCGTCTTGGTATTTGATTTCTTTTTCTTTTTGTGTAAAATGCCTTACATAAGCCTCTAATATCATGTTAATCTAAAGAGACATATTTATAGTTCATTGTGGTATGCTTTCAATTTAGTTTTCTAAAGGCATTAACCGCGGAAACCTTTCAATTGAAAAAAATATGTTTAATAAAATTATATAATAAATGTTAATAAGCAATGTACAACACTGACTTATTAAATTAAATCTATCAAAATACTTAATGTTTGTGATTTTAAAATAACTTTACCATTATCAAAAATTTACAGCATGTATGTGTACACAAAGTGCAATCTTAAAACTTAAAACACACTAGTCAAAACAATAAATGCAAAGGCGTGTACTAAAATGTAACTAATACGCATCCTTTCTCATACGTAAACCGCTTGTTTCCAGTCTTTCGTGTTCCATTTTTGTTTTTAAATTAAGGGTTAGACAGTTATTCAGTTTCGATTTTCAAATTATTAATATTACCTAACAGTTTAATATTAAGTAGACTCATAAAACATCTAAAAGATTATGTTTCCTATGAATTACGTAGATTATGTAATTAAACCTACAGGAAAATAGCCCACTTATCATACATATATTTATTTGTGTGCACTTTAATACCATCCACTAACACGTCCCGTAACAAATTTCGCGTTATATTCGTATAGTTTATAATGCATTGTTTTGTTTACTGGTTTATTTTTTGTTGTATGCAAAAGTATTCTGAAAACTTTTTTCTAGGAAAAATGTCAAAAATGAAATTTACTTACCTCAAATAGTTGATTGTAAAACATTTCACTCTGGGTAAACACTTATCCTTAAGTAAATGAAACTTCGTTTTTATAATTTTTTATTTTGTTATTAATTGAGACACATTTGACCTAAATGTTTATGTTATCCTCATCATCGTTGTATGTTAATTATTCTTTTAAAAATCTGCTTATATTCCTTTAAATTATTATCTCAATTATAGTATCAAACTTTAAGGTTTAAATGATTACATTAAATTTTTCCCAATTCATTCTTTTAACATGCCAGTTGTTATACTTCTTTAGGCGTGTTATGAAAAAATGGTGAAAGTGAAATTTTAAGATGCGCGCATCAGTGTAACACAAAATTAACAGGTTTTTTGATATAGATAGGTTTTTCGTACGACATCTCAATGGCCCATCAGCTCAGTTAGTCAGAGCGTCGTGCTAATTCCACGAAGGTCCCGGGTTCGATCCCCTCATGGGCCAAGTTTTTACTATTCGTAAATATTAGTGAAAAAAATGTATCTTTATGTATTATTTATTGATATAATTTACAATATTATTATTTAATATAATTAATACTAAATAATATTAAGTAATTAATATTAAATATTTATTATTGGTTATTTAATATTTACAAAATAAAGAAATAAATTTAATAAATCATTAAAAAAATTGTTGTAAAAATAAAAATCTAACATCAAATTAAAATGTTCATTTTTAATATTTATTATTAAATTGAGTAAATAATAAATATTCATAAAAAGAAATGAACAAATTTAATGAAAACTTATTGATAAAAATGAAAAGGGAATATTAAATTAAGAAAATAATAGACATTTAAAAAATGAATAAACTTAAACTTAATTTGTAAAATTTATTAAGTATTAAATTAATTATTGTAATTAATTATTTGTTAATTAATAATTAATTTTGTAATTAATTATTTGCATACATTTAAAACTATTTTTTAATGATGTCAAAGAAGTATAACTTGTTATGCGCGTACATAAGTACACGCATCCATTTTTTTTTATTACGTTCTTTATACTTCGACAAGTAGACTTCAGACGAACCTTCGCGATTTTAAGAAAAATGAAAAAAATAAAATGACAAATTTTCGGTGAATATTTATGTCAGTCCATAGATGCCAAGTTCATCAACAAATTTTGAGGCCTCAACTAGTAGACCTTTTGATATAACCACTTACCGCTAATACACAAATGTGATATATAAATAGGCAAAAATAAACAGTTCAGTTCCTTTTTTTCCTTCGTCAACTGATTTTCTGTTTTTTTTTTTTGTTAAGCAGTTATGGACGAGCTTTAGTATTATAAACAACAAAATCTGAACCAGTTCTTAGAGCTAGTGACCAGCCGCGGCTTCGGAGGGCTAGTAGCATTTATTTGTAGCCATGCGATGTGGTTATGTCACGAAGTTTTAGCAGATATCTAATGTACGGTGTCTTGTACAGTGCCTTGCTACGCCTAATAAAAAGAAAAGTGTTAATTTTTAGGAAAAAATGACACAAAATTGCCATTTATTGTTGTAAAGCCATGCTATGGTCAACTTAGCTACAGCACGTATATAGGTCGGCTCAAACGGTACACTACCACACTCTCACATAATACAGTGGTGAAGTAACAATTTCCGCTGTTTTTCGTGTAGTGAGTGAGAATTCTGGTGACATACTCCCCTCCATTACCCTACAATCTCCTTGATCCTTACTTCTCTCTGTCAGCCCGCACCTTCCTCCATCAAATATTTCTACTCAAGAAACTGGCAACGCACTGATGACTCCTCCAAAGCCACGAGTGTCCGTGGGCAGCGGTGACGGAGGCACTGGTGGTTTGCACGTTCGTTTGCGTCTCAATAATGATAAAAAAAATGTGTTTAATCAATCGTTACCAAAACTTTATTGAATCAGCCACTGGGCTAATCTAAAGATTCTGAACATTTCATTAAAACCGTTCAACCCGTTTTAGAAAATTAATCACTATATCCATATATCCTAATATGATATACGCGCTCACGTACTAGCTCTTGCTCATAACTTAACCTACAAAAATCTGACTAAAATTGACACATAATAAGTTCATTTCAATGAAAATACACTTATGGACATATATCATAGATTCTCTATTCATCATATTTCACGCTCCTTACGTTTAAAATTCATAATTTTTGTATAGCATGTCCTTTCTGATAAAAATGCCCACAGCCCTTGTTTTCTGTGTTTTTTTTTCTCCGGCAGCATTTAATCGTAATACTCGGCGGTGAACGAACCATTCGCTGAGCGGGTTTTTGTATGCCTGCAATAGTAACACATAAATGGTGAAATGGTCGATTGATTATTTTTTTCTTTCACATGTTGTGCAGCCCTATACATTCCACGTACTAACTATGAATTTGTAAAAGAGTATCTTGTCTTACAGTTGGATCGATGAACTTGTAATTGCTTTTGAAGTTTTAATATCAGCATCTAATTCCTAGTCCTTATATATCGGGAGAGCAGGTGTGTTACTATTTGTTGTTGGCAGGGATAGCGTTTGATTGGTTATACCACATACCTAACTTTAAATCTTTTGAGTGTATAGGCGAGCGTGAGAGAGTCCCTGAATATAATGGAAAGTATATTTCCCTGTATTTGCCACATAAGAGGACAGAGTAAGATTCTATTGCCATTCTGCTGAACGACGTGAACGACGACTGGGTAATAATCAGAAGCTGCAAATTGTATATCTTCACCATCCCAAAACCCGTCAATAAATTGTTTTCTAATGTAAGTTTCGATTTTCAGGCTATAGGACAAAGACTATAAGCGATAACGAATATCGGAAAAAAGATCCTATAAGAAAAGATAACTATTAATAACAGATCCCAACCTTCGAAACTCGATCTCACTATTGTTTAAAGTTTTAATTTAACTAGGCGTTCAGGCAGTCGAGGGCTTCTTTTATTTAGAGAAAATAACGTACATATTATTTTTATAATATTAGAGATCCGTTCAAATATCTGAATAAATTAAGATGTGATCACTAAAAAAAAAGCTTTGGTTAAAATAACAAAATAAGCCATTTCCTAAGGTTAATATAGAATTAATCTACATAAGTACGATGTTCGTTTTATGAAGGGATTAGGGGTAGTCAGAGGCATGAAAAAATGATATTTTTAATAACTTTTTTACTATTCAATTATTTTATTTGACAAAAGTAAGAATATAACATCATTATATTTCGATTTGCCTTCACCGAAATTAAAAAAAAAAAACAATAATTTTAAAAGTTATGGTTGTTTGTGTGGACCCAGTTCCTCCAGAAGTATTTTGCGGTGACCATCACAAATCCTTGGAGATTCATCTAAAACCAATTGGACAAAAAAAAATAGTTTTATTAATAGATAATCGAAGTTTTTTTTAAAGAAAAAATTAACAAAATGGCGGCCTCAAAAAATTTGTTTCCAGATTTTCGGGAAAAAACCAACAATTAATTGTTAATAAAGAATCAAAAAATACTTCGATCAGGCACTAGTTTTTCATGTTTTTCAAAAGCTGTATAAATTTCAATTTTTCGGTTTTTGAGTTCAAAAACATAGTTTTGAGAAAAACGCATTTAAAGTTTCACAATCGATTTAAGTAGAGTAATACGAATTATTTAATTACTAACATTGAGCCATCTATTTCTGGGCCATATAATAGTTCTTTAGCCGTTGTAGAAGCTTCCAAAATATCGATTTTCTGTTGCCTACGTAGCATTCCGTCTTCTTGAGTGTTATCTGCCTTGGTCGCCTTATCTGCTACTTTCACACGTGCAGCATATATTTTTTCAGCATACCGATGAGAATTAGGCCCACAATTAAGTCCCAGTGTGTTCATTATGACCAATAATGAATTCATACCTTCATTAAATATACTAATAGCTATGTATGCAGCAATTTGTATGATATTAAAACTAGTATTTATCGTTTTTGGGCGTATTTTCCATACTAGTTGGTTAAAGCTCTCATTATTATTCTGATTGAATCCACCTACACATCTTGAAAGTAAATTGTCATTATCACTACTGAGATCTTCATAAATTTGCTTGATAGCTTTTAAAACATCGGGAGGTAAGGGCGAATAATCTCGAGAAGTCGGTGATTGCAGCTGCTGCTAGCTACCTGCTCTCGAACGTTCCGGAATGCCGAGAGCGCTTTGTTAATTGTTGAATAAATCTAAAAGCATTTTTCGATTCACTTAAAATATTCACAGAATATTTTTAATATACTATAAGAAAATCCAAAAATAAGAAATCGATTTTTTTTTAAATTATAACTACCCCTAACCCCTTAAATAAATATTGTTGTACTAACTAAATTTATTAATTAGTACAACAAATTTTATCCATGTTATAGTTGATTCAACTATTTCATATTGTTTTTATTTAACGTAAAACTTTGAACAAATTTACAAGTCACAATAATTATTTGTAAAAACTGTAAAAGAAGGATGTTTTTTACTTAATGAGTCGAGTAATATTTATTAGGAATCTCTGTATTTTTGACTATATGTCTTTAGTACATATCACTAGAGGTGTTTGACATATGATCTAAAATGATTTTAGTACTTTTATCGAAACCTATTTTGTGCTTGTAACAAAACTGCGTTCATGTAGTTTATCAAATTACTTTTGGTAAACTACATACAACAAATAGTATAACAAACTAGTCCCGCTATGCGAGTACTTTCAGATATCAAATTTAAAAGAACAAATACTACACTTTCATCTCAACCAAAAGGCCGAGAAGCGATGGCGTACAGAGAGTGGAATTGCCTAAATCTGATCATCGGCACACCTATGGCGCGATGTAAACTTTTTTTGTTAACTCCATCTACAACACCACCACACACCGCACTACCACACCAAAAGCGCAGACACGGCCACCTATGTTCATTTGGAACAAACAACGCCAGTTGGAACTGAGATTCGAAAGCAATGTCTAACAAAGATCATTGCCATTCCTCATGAGAGTAACAGCATTTTTGAATGATAACTTCTTATAAATCGATGAACGCCGGCTGCATGCACGAAAAAGCATGACTCATTGTCGCGTTCCGCTTGAGCCGAGCGTGCGAGGGAGAGCGCGGAACAAGCGATAGAGAGGCGTCCTAAGCGTTCGGCTTGTAATGCATCTATCTTTCTTTCATTCTATCGGTCGATGGAGTGGAAGAAAGATACAAAATCGTGATAATTATTTTGTATCTCTCATGATGATACAATTATCATTACTAGATGACACAAAATTATGATAATTCAGTGATAATAATCCAATTAAATTCATGAAAGTATGCAATTTTTCATCAATGTTTTCTTATGACATTATCACGTAAAATTATCGTCCGTAAACCGACTTTAGACATAACCAATTTTTGCCATTACTCTGTAACATCGGTATCCCCTGTCGATAACAACTATTAGGATTTAAAACCTGTGAAATAGGTACGTGCC